CTGAGAATAATAATATTTTAAATGATGATGAGTAACTTCTATTCCAGATAGCTCTCTCTCTTCTGCCATCACATAAAAAAAATAAGCACAGTAGTGTTCTTAACTCTTGTGGAGCTGTAAACCTGAAAAATAAACTGTCATCGGGCCATTGAGGGTATTAATAAACATGAATTCTTTAATCTACCATTTCAGTATCAAAGTTGGATTGCGCTCGGCTAACTTCCCACTAAGTTGGGCATTGAGAGCTGTGGCTATTACCTCATATGTGCTGTTGTGAAAGACGTAAAATAGGTTTGCACAGAACGTTTATTGAACGCTACTTATTTAATTAAAAAACAATAACCTCTTACTCTTCCTGCAGCCTATGCTGTGATTCTAACGTATTCAGGATCCTTTTTCCCACTGTTTTCATATTTCATGAGTTCTCCTTAATTTTTCTTCTGTCTCATTCTTTCCTCCTTTATTTACTTTTGCATCATCGCTGTAGTGACATGCCACGGGTTTGAAAAGGCTTTGGTGATTCCTAATACTGATTTGTGGAAGTTGAGCAGATCACTGGAAAGTTGCAATGTGTAATAAACAGAAATATTTGACAGATACCAATTTTCCTGAATTTCTGCCCTGTATGTGGTTATTTATGAACATCTCAGCAAACGCTAGACTGCTTATCTATTTTGGTAGTATGAGCAATATCTTATTTCAGCCAGAATCCAATGTTCATGTTATTTCAGTTGCACATACACACCGTGATGTATAGGGGTTTAAATCCATTTCCCTTTCAAGATGAAAGAGGGTCACGTGAGACACTCGGCTTTCGTGAAGACACCTAAGCAGCCTGCTGTATATAGATAACAGAATTCTTATTTAGCAAAACTGCTGATTGGCACCTCTGTTTCATGCTGAGCTCCTGCATTGTGTGCTCTATAATCGTGGTCCTATATGTTTGTAGCCACCATTTGTTACACTCAAATTTCAGGCACTAGACAGTTTAATATATTAAACTTGTGTTAGGGGGAGTTCTCCTGTTGTTCTAAGGGGTTTTTCTCCCATTTAGGTCAGAACAAAGTGCCTAGCTTCTAAGCCTCCCTTTTTGTTTTTTTGTGTAGATGCCAGTAGCTATTTTCCGAACAATGCTGCATGTTTATTAGTATCAAATGAAAAAATAAGCAGCATCATGCATGATTTCAAACAATGAATCTGCAGTAAGACCTAACAGTAGGTCCCATACTTAAAGTAAACAGAATTTGTTCAGACTGAGTTACCCTTTGCGCTTCAATGTTAAGAAAATCTTAAGCATTACACATAAAAAGATGATTCACCTGCCATTTTGTCTAATAAATGAAGTCCCCAAAGGTTTCCGATGTTAATTGGATTGCAGTTTACACAAATCTATTCTTTGCTTATTATAGTGAAGAACTGTTTCAAAATACTTAATTTGATCAATATTTTTAATTTATGCTCAGTTTTGCTGAATGCGACTACTTTTCTTACTAGATATAAAACCAAAACTCAAAACTTCTTAATTACAATTAGCCGGAGCAGTTGTACTTGTGTTACTAAAGAACACATCCCCCTATTTTAAAATACATGATTTGCCGTAAGTTCTAGGAGCATGTGAAAACAGGTATTTTCACTATTTTGCATTCTTACAGGCATGAGATGGTAACTTAGAAAATGATGATGCTTTCTGGGATCTTTACAAACTCCTTTGGGAACATTATTTGCATGTTTAATTTAGATAGCTGGCATCTTTTCTTTTCTTTGCGTGTTGTGACAAGAGATGCTAGCAGCTGTAGCGTTATTTGTGCAATTTGAAGGTGTATGTGACTTAAGCAGGGACATAGTGGCCTTCCAAGATAAGTATTTGAACGTTGCTCTTGGGGCTTTAATTAACAGTTCCAGCTTTCCAATTTTCACAGGTTTTTCAGATAAAAGCCAAATGGTTCAAAAGCGGTAAACGCTATGCTCTTTTAGTGGAATATGAACTACTGCCATGGAAGAGATTCCCTCTTCTTTCCTCTTATGCTTGGAGGAAGAGGTCAGAAAATATGTCTTCCTGAAGAAGCATGCTGATGCCCTATCAAATATATATATATATATATGCAGTGCTGCTTATTTAGTGTGTTGGTTGGTGTAAGCAGAAACATTTACTAACTGCTCATTTATATACGTTTGTACAAATAAAGCTGTACAGTGAAGCAGTTTACTATTTTATCTACACTAACAAACTTCCAAGTTGATTATATTCCAATGCATAGTTATAGCTTCATTCACCTCACCTGCATGTTAAATGTTATTTTGCCATGGGTTCATAGGCTACATCCATTCAATTCGTTGAGATTCGTGGCTTGTTTTTATGACTAGTGCCGAAATACGTGTATAGCTTTATAGGCACAAAAGAGAGTGGTATGCTTTTAGTGTTAATGATTTATTTTATATCGAGGAAACAAGAAAAATCATTTAGGAAGCTCTCCATGAGAGACTGCAGAGTGCATTTCTTCTCTAATGTTCTGCATTAATACAAAATGGTCGTTACCTTTTAAAAAATGTAAAAGCTCAGTGCAGAGAAAATATTCCATAATTACATAACTGCATACTCTATAATACGTGCTTCTTTGACATTCCCTCCTGCAGAGATTATTCATGAGATATAACATTTAATAAAGCCAGACAAATTGTGGTTGTATGTGCTCAGCTGATTGAAATGCGCACACAAAATTGAGGACAGAATTGTACTCTGGTCTGCACCTGAGAATGTTGTAGCCTTACTAAGCCGTACAGTTTCTTGCAGATTATGTGGTTTATTTTCTATAGCAGGGATGTACCACTCCTTAGAAAGCAAACTCTGTGCTGCGCTTGCAGTACTGACAGTGAAGAGCATGATACACAATTGGAAAGAGATAGGTGGCATGTTATTGCTGTCAGGGATTTTGAGAGGGTGGCTCAGTCAGTATGTGCTGAATTGCGCAGGTGCCTTGCCAGTGCTTTGAGGCAGGGGGGTGTCTGATGCACTGCCACTGTGGTCTCTGCTGTCATGGTCTGTCTCATCCTAAATTTGCAGATGACCAAAGCAGTGAGAATTGTTTGACTGTTTTAGGCAGATATAGCGTATAATTTGGAGAACTTCTGTTAAAATAACTGTCATTTTTAGGTGATGCCTGCCAGTTTGAAAAATGTCCCATGTTGATTTTAGACTGTAGGATTCACCATGGCACTTGATGAGCTGTTTCAGTGGTTAATTATTTTCACTGTTAAATTTTGAGTCCTGTTTCTAGTCTGATATGTTAATTTCTACTTCCAACTATTTTGTTAACAAATTACTCTTCGTGTGGATTCATACAAGCTCTGATTTTCCTGTTCCATAAATTTCTCTTTATTAAATGGAATTGATTAATCTCCTTTAAGATATATTTTCCAATCCTTTATTTGTTGTTGCTACAACTTTTTCTGATCGTTCTGCAACCGATCCTTCTTCATTTGTAGGCGTTGGTGCTGAAATACCAGGGCTCATCTAAACATTGCGTTAAATAGATCTTTTTGATCCTGAATGATATCCCCTATTTTAACAAGCAGAAATCTTATTAGCCCTTTGATATGGTGTCATATGTGGAAGATCATGATTACTAGATTTTCTTCCTTCTCTGAATTGAGTCCTCAACCCTATCTTTTGTTTCTAGATATATGAGCGTGCATTCAATTGTCTGGCACTCCAGGTAACCCACCTCTCTGCATTTATGACTTCCGTCTTGTTATTACCCAGTGTGCATCATTTGCAGACTGTTAACATCAAAACGTGCATGTTGTCGTCTAGATTATTAATTAAAGTATTTTATAGCATAGGGAAAACATCTGGCTGCCCTTCTCCTTTTCTTAATCTAAAGCCCTGTTTTGTACTTTGTTACTAAATTGTGTAGCTCTTTTACATATGGTGCATTTCCTTTCCTCAAATGTAACCGCCAACACTTCCTGAAAGGTTCTCTCAGCAGCTCTTCTCTACTGGGTGGCCGTTCCTTGTACCACAGACGGGCAAATGAGTCATCCCAAACTGGTATCAATTTAGGATAAAAAGTGGTGATGTCTGAGACTAGTCTGTCACTGCTAGTGCAGGAGAGAGATAGGACTGATGGTGAAGGACGGTAACATATCCTTTCTAAAGCCGTCTGCAAATGCCACTTGCAGTCGGCATTGACAGTTTGGCTTCGTGCTACAAAAGCAATCTGGCAGGGATGAGAGGGACCTGAAACGTCCCTATGAGTTTCTGCTGTTTTTCATTCGGGTGTTGTGGCTAGGAATGAATCTCATCTTACAGAAGCTACAGCGCATGGTGATTGCAAGACCACCTATCATATGAATACTAAGCAACGAGCTTTGCTAGGGATATTGGATACTTTAACAAGGGATCTCCTTCATGTGAGAAGGTGCTAGGCCTTCTTAAAAGGGCTAAGCGATCTTTAGTGTCTTCAGCATATAACTTTCAATACCTAGCTCAGGTTTTGAGCTGTGAGGAACTTTGAGGAAGATGTGTCTTACAACTGCTATTGGCAGTTCAGCTTAATCTTAGATCTTCGGAGGTCTTCCATAGCCTAGAGATCCAGCCTAGCTTCACAGATCAAACAGGGTCACAGCATAAATTATTGTACTTGGAGTCGTTGCCATTCACGTTAGGGGAAAAAACAATAAGCCTGAGTCGCCATAACAATTTTTCTGTGAGGATAGGGGACAGAAGGAGACAAGGGAAGAGAGAAAGACACCTTCTTTAACGCTGCTGCAAAGAGTCGAGTGTATTGAATGTCACTAGTAAACCTGGAAGACAAGCTCTGGGAATTTCTTAGGATGTTTATCAGAAGCCTGTGAAGTTGTGAAAGAGATTAGACTTGGGGCAAGTGTGAATATTCAGTAAACACTTTTAATTTTAACTTCACATAGAATGCTCTTTTATTGTTCACTTTGTATGAAATTCAGCAATATTTAAAATTACTTTTACCAGATATGTTCTCATTACCAGTCAGTTTGTGAACATACTCATTAAGGGATACATTCAGTGGCTAGCCTGTATAATCATAGTGGTTCTGCTCTGAGGGAACTCCTGAACCTGAAGTTCAGGCATGGAACTCCATCATGAAGAGGTGGTTGACTTTGCAGGCAAGAATGGGTCTACTGAGGCCACGGGACACTGCGTAGGGATACCAGGTTACAAGCTTAAGCAGCTTCAGAATGAGAATTGAATTGCTAAAATAATACAAACAGTATTCATATCCATATATTAAAAAGCGTTGATTGTTTGGCATGTAAATCCTCTTGCTAGAAGAGCTAAGAATTCAGTGGGAAAGTGCTAAATTAAGTGATTTGAAAATATTTAGAAACTGTTTTCCATATAAGTAGGTAGTGGCAGATGGAAACTTGCCAGTCAGCGCATCACCAAGTTGGTTTTGGAAATGAAATGAAATCAAACTTGCCTATCTGGGCACCGAGACGTGGCCTGGGATCTGTTTGTATCATGTGTACCATTAAATCAAGTGTTGCCAGCACATGCGCTTTTTTGTAGTAGAGTAGGCTGATATTTCTGGTGAAACTAATGATGGTGAACAGCTCACTGTAACTTACGGTTTTTGAAGCTGTGCCTCTGCGACAGTGGGCCACTCAAATCATATTGGCTTACGTTTATTTGGTAGACCAGCTTTTTTGAGAATTTCAGAGCCCACGCTACTAAAATAAGTGTAGTTATTGCTACAACAATTAAAATGAGGTCTCGCCAAAAGAACTCGAGGCTTTTGATTGGGAGAAGCCTCTTGCAGATCCCCAGCTCGTTCCCAGTCAGCTGACTCAAGGGCTTCATCCTAACGGCGGTGGGGGTTGCACATCTGACGTTTGCAAGAGAGGATTCCGAGATATCCTCTAACCAGAGTTTTAAATAAAGAATATGACAGTCACAGTTCCAAGGATTATCAAATATTTTCACCTCCTCCAGGCTGAGCAGGCTGTCCAAGGCACCGGAAGGAACTGTGGTCAGGCTGTTATTCTGTAGATAAAGCTTCTTGGTGTTAACAGGCAAGGCAGGCACTTCCTTCAGCTTCCTTGAACTGCAGTCTATCTGCAAACCCTTCATTTCTCCCAGTGACTTACAGTTGCAGGAAGGAGGACAGACTTCAGTTTGAGTCACGTGGAAGAGCAATAATACAGCAAATCCTGCAACAGTGGTGAATTCCACTTTGTTCATGCTTCAGCTACCCAGAAAACAAGAATAATCATCTGATGAATGTGACTCATTAATTAGCATGTTTCTAAATGCAGAACTGGAATACATTTCTTTCTCAGGATTACCAGGAAGGCTTAGTTTTTGGGAAGACAGTCATTAACTTCCTGTATTTCCCACAGAGCTATTCTACTTGAAATCAAGTAGTATAAGTTGAACTGGGAAAAAACACAGTGATTCCATTTGCCTCCAGCTTATTACTTTTCCTGCATCATTGTACAAAATACAGTATTATCTAAAATTCTGGAACACAGTGTTAACCAGGAGCTGATGGTAAAAAGTAGGTTAGTTTTAGGCAAAGATTTTGATTCAGTTTCTAGATCTTTGTAGGGCTAGTGTTAAAATTGCATGTTGAAGTCAGGCTTCAAAAGTGAGCTTAAAAGACTGAATAATTCTAAACTTTTAAAAATATCCTTCTCTCTGGGGATGTTAAGATCCTAAGCAGGAAGTAGGACGTTTCATGTGGTAGAGAGTTCTTTTTTTATTTCTGCCTTGTAACTTCATGCATCTCTGAGAAAGTACAGTTTAAGATCTGAATGAGTAAAGAATTGGAAATCTTGCATGTCTGTGCTCTGATACTGCTTGTCATTTGGGGATTACTTAACCATGCTTTGGGCTGGCAGGTAATCATCCCTTTTACTGTGTCACTCCCAGTTCTGCACAGTGGTTCCCGCTAGACTTCTGTCTTAGTGTCCTCTATTTTGCAGTTTAAAACACTTAAAAATGTTCCCTTCTTGTATTTCTTACTTCTCTGCATTTAAAAATATATGGCTAGCCTTGTGACCAGATTGGAATTTGAAATATAAATCCCCTTGCTCAGGTTGGGGAGGTTAGTATCTCTAAACCATCTATTTTTATGACTTTGATACATCCCATAATTAAAATGTATTTTCTTCCTTTTTTTCCCCCAATTCATCTGCAGTAAATAAGTATTGAGGTAAAAATATCTGACTGAGTATTGCCCTGGGTAATACTTGGAGAATGGCAGATGCTGTAAAAAGCGCCAGATTCTTGTGTCACTAAACGCTTAAAAGAAACTTCCTTTTTAACAGAAGAAGGCAAAAAGCTGTGCTGTGTAGTTTTATTTGCAGGCAAACATTATAAGCACATTGGGAGTGTGGTTTAAAATTAGACTGAGCAAAGCATGAGAAGTAGCAGACAGATAGAGCAGACCTATTATTGTCAACAAATGCAGAGTAAAAGAGGTTTTTACATACCCAAGGCAATACAGAGTTTATATTTTACATATGTAGAATAGAATTTGGAAAAAAAATTCTTAAAAGATAATGTTTTCAAATGTGGAGAGATTCTAGAACTCAAAAAAAAAAAAGTTTTCTTTTATAAACTTAAAATAAGCTGAGACTATTTTTTTCTCTAGAAATTTAATAAAGACTAAAATTGTGGAAAAGCTCACAATGGATTGATTTTACTTCAAATTAATTTTCTTCAATTTAATTACAAGGATTATATAATCAGCGTCTCCAAATAAAGTTAGCTTTAGATTTTTAGTCTAAATAATACTTTGCTATTTTTCGAGTGGGGTTAGTACTGCATAAATTTATAAATTTCATCACAGAGAAGCTGAAATATTAATCTTAACCATTTCTTATGTCAGCAAATAATCTGTCTTTGGTCTGAATCTAGACAGTCATCCACTATTTTTCAAGAAATCTATTTTTTTAAAGCAGACAAATCTTAACAGACTATGTCACCTGACTAAAAAAAGTTAAGCAATACCTATTAAAAAGGTCATCTCTTGTGATTTAATATATAAACACTAAGAAATTCCAAATCAAATAGAAATAAGACCTGTGCCAAAGATGTAAAAAAAAGAACTGTTGAGCTGCCTGACTGACACTTACCCTTATTTTTTCCCCTCTGATTCCTTTCCCTCTGCTTGGGTAAAGTGTTGGAGTACATATAGCAACTGAAGCTGCTTTTTAAAGAGTCAGTAAGGAAATGGGTTAAAGAAGATTAGTTTTTTTCCTATGTATAATAGGAAACCATTCCCATTGGAAGATGCATCCTGTCAAATAGTGAGATGTGCCATGTCTCATAGTGCTTGAGCTTTTTGTATATTTTCTGCAGACATGAGGAAAAATGCTTTTGATTTTCTTTTTTTAATTCCTACTATTTTTCCATTAAACCTGGCAGTTTCTTAAAACCCTCAAGTGACTCCTCTGAAATCTGACAAGTTGCTGCTTCAGCTGTTGTAATCTGCAGGTATAAAAGTTAGCCTGAGCTCCAGTTACTAATGCATGCAAGCCTAAGCAAGATACAAGGGAGCTAAAGGTAGCCCATCAAATAGGGTTCTTTGTTTTGTTTTAATCAGTCAGGTGTGTTTGTCTGCCTTTCCACTGAACAGGTAAAACTTGCTAAAACAGTCTAGCATCAAAACTTAAATTAATCAAGTGAGATATTAGAGACCTGAGAGGTATTAATGCCGTTGCGTTGAAGTAGTAGTGAAAGCTCCTCCAGAATGCGGTATGTAATTCTGGTCACCCACATTCAAGAAAGATTAAGTGAAACAAAGGTTCCCGTGATGATTAGGGATTTGGAGAACCTGTTTTATGAAATGAGGCTATGAGAGAGCTGTTTCCTGCAATATAGAGCAGGGCGGAAATACCTGAGCTTAGAACAGCACAAGCAGGCAGGTGCACACGACACAACGTTGGAGGTGAGAAGGGCATGGGCATCAGTGGGTCAATTCCTATTTTGGTTCTTCTGATATTTTGTGAAATATCATTTCTTTGTAATGTCCTACTTGGTTTGGTGCTTAGAAATGAGTTAAAAATATGGTACTCCCTCATGGTTAGTATAGCTCCCTTTTATTAGTATAGCCTAGAGGATGGCAATGTCCTTGGGCTCATATATAGCCTGCCTCCTCAGTCACTTGAGAGCTGTGTGTAGCTCAAAAGAGGACTGCAGTCCTGCAAATTTCTTCACTCTGAAGTTGCTGGAGAATGTAGATTGCTGAATAATAGTGATGTGACGTCTTAAAACATAATGCAGTCGTTTGGAGGGAATGCCAGTGATTCAGGATCATGCAAGTGTATAACATGCATGTATCTGTTCATCTACATAAATAATGCTTGTCATGCTGTGTGTGTGTGTGTATTGCTTGTTTGGGTAACAGTCATAGAAAGATCTGTAGATGAGATTGTGATTTTTTTTTTCCTCTTTGCTCTTTAACAGCATATGTATATTTTTTGGAAGTGAAGCACATCACTAGACCATACATTTCATAAATGTCTGTCTTACCCTATACTTGTTTCTTGTATCGCACAATCTGTGGCATATATCTTAAGGAGTTCTGCCACACAGTCTAAAAAGTTTGCTGTGGCATAGTTAAATGCTGCAGCTTTCTTGCCCTGAAAGGGATGCAAAATATTTTGCATCCTCTGGATCCATGCTCAGATTCTGTGCTCTAGAGCTGTAGCTAATCCTTGTATAAGGAGTCCTGCGTTCCTCCGGCTGCTGTGCGATGCCTGCCTGGAGAAGTAGTAGAGTAGGCTGAGTCCCTGGATCTGTTAGATTTGGTGAGGACTGTAGGCTAGTTTCTTCAGCTCTGAGTGGCATAAATGTATCCAGTGAGTAGCTGGCAGAAGTAAAGCTTCACACACTAGGAATGTGAATTTATAATTTTAGAGCTACAATTAGTTTCTTGTAGGCCAAGTGAGAATTCAGCTTTTAAGAGGACTGAATAAAAGTGGGTTTGAACAAATTGTTATTCTCTGCAGATGCTTATTTCCACAGAGTGGATCAGTTTGAACTTTTCCTGAATGAGAAAAGGCTCTGTCAGGCTTCTCAGCTTTGAGGTATTTCTGAACATCCTTGTTTCCCAAACAAAACCTCTCTCGCTACCTTGCTTCCTGCAATTACACTGAAAAGCTCTGGATGAGTTTTCTTTTGCAGCCTTGATTTTTTTCCAGTAGAGTACCTAGGTGCTGCTTCTGATTGCTAAATTTGGAAAAAATGAACAGGCAAAGAGGTAATAACTTACTGTCCTTGCAGTTAAGAAAAAAAGCTGCAAGTTACAGCTAAACATGGAAATAAAATGCATGAACTGCCTAGATGAAATTCAGGGAGAATAGACCTTTTTTTTTTTAATAGAAGGTTTTAATGAATTACAGTAATTCATTCCTGTCAATGAACTACAGTTGACCTAGAAGGACAGAAGTTTTCTTGAGAACCCTTTCCCTTTCCTGTGCTGAGAAAGAACTTGCCATAACTGTGTCTCATTTTGTCAATAAATGGCAAAAGTATTTTTTGTTTAAGTTCTATCATCTTGATTAAATCTGTTATTACATACTTTCAAATGACAGTCTAACCAAAATATTTCTTTATGATTGGATGTAAGTCACTGGAAATTCATGAATTAAGCAAATATGTGAATAAACAAAAAACAAAAATGAGACATCATGAAATCCATTCGCACATCAAGGAGTATTGCCTGCAGAAATGAATTACAGCTCTGTGGCTTTTCTCACATCAGGAGTTATTGTAACCCCCAGGAACAAAATATTCCTGCTATTTACTGCACCCTAGAGGGCTAGCCTGTTAAAGCCTTTCCAGTATTTATACATAGGAGGACACTAAATTTCATCCTGTTCATATTCTGCTTATTGTACTGTTGTTTTCTACTCTATATTTACTATGGTTGGCCAGATTTTTTTCATGCATTAAATATTCTACCTTCCTTGGAAGATTATTACTCAGGCCGATAAGCTCTTCTGATTTAGGAAATTCTTCTCCTAAATTGTCCTAGCCCCATTTTATCAAATATTTCTTTCTTCTGCTCATTCTGATAAAGAATCTTTTTCCTCGGTGTTTTCGTTACAACATAGTTACCGCATTGTCCTCAGTTGTTACTTATCTTTCCGCTAGGTGTCATTCAAGTAGTTTTTCTTGCTAAAAGTTGAGCATGCAGCATCTGGATCAAGCTTCATATATAACTTATCAATTCAAACTGGTTGTCTGAAAGATTGAAATATTCTTTTAGACTATTATTTTCTCCATCGCTTCCAAGCTAAAATATAAAAGGTACGCAAATCGCGTGTATTATGTAATCTGTGTAAATCAGAGATACCTGATCGCACATTTTTGCTTTATGAAAGTCTCAGGGCCTTGAGTTTCTTAATGAAAATAAACATTCCTAGAGGATTTGGGTTCAAACTGTCCTCAGGCAAATATTACTATCACTTATGCTATGACAGAGTAGCAAGGATAGAGTGCAGCTGGGGAAGCTTATAGAGAAAGAGCCTCTAAGGGCATCATCTTTAATAAAAAAAAAAAAAAAAAAAAAACAAAAACCACAACCACCAAGGCAGTATATCCACTGGAAAGCGGCTGGGCCGTTCCCTGCGCTCCCAGTTCGGGTAATCGGCGCTGAACGTTTACCTGGGAACCCAGTAATGCTGCCAGCAGTCGGTGCATTCAGTGCTGCCTTTGTGTGGTTCACTAGCTGAATGCCCTGCTGCCATCTTGACTGGAGGTGCTGGGTTGGTAAAATGGGGTCAGCTGTGCTCCTCTCCGCCTTGTTTACATTATCGAATTAAATATTTTGCTCTCATTAAAACCAATTAGCTTCTAACTCTTTATCCACAGTTACCATTATTTAAAATACAAATACTGTGTTTCAGTCAAACTGTTAACAACAGAAGGCTGCATCTGTGTCAGCATTTTAGTTAGGACTGATTGGGCTTTTGGAGCAAATCTCGTGGTCTTCCCTGTTTACTGTGGATGCTTTTTGGATGAAACTAAACCATAATGTTCACTCCAGAAATGCATCCAATTTGCTCCAGCTGCTACTGAGAGCTCAGTCTCTGGGGCCAGACTAAAGATAGATCAAAATAACCCTCCTCTGTAAGTATATATGGTTGCATATGGTGTCCTCAGTTCCAGACTGTTTCACTAGACAGATCCAGTCCTACTGGGCCATTCTGTTTGCTACTGTAGGTATTGCCAGTGAGACAGCCCAACAGCTGTCTGTTAGTGAACCTCGTGCTAAGGCCAGTCAGTTTTGTGGTAACTGTGGCGTGAAATCTGCTGCAGTGTTTTTACCAGTTTACTGCAAAATAGCTGTGGCAGGATTGCAAAATACATAAGATTAAGCAGCACTCTTGAGTTTTGTGGTGGTGTTGCTCCTGTTTAAGGAGTTTGGTTATAAACAAAATCAGCCTTTGGCCCCGTTAGCTAAAGCTCTGCTATTTTCTGCTTAAAGAATTGGAATTGTGAAGGTAGGGAGTTGAACTTCATGGTCACATGAAACACTTGGAAAGATCAATTAGAAATTAATTACTGTGTGATGTAAAAGACTATATTGGAAAAGCCCAAGTGGTGAGTGTCTCATGTTAATTCATTGCAGAATTTAAGTCGCTATGCTGGGTTTTTATATTGCCCTTTATAAAGCTATGACTTCATATTTTTTTGAAATAAAACAGTCAACTCTGGATACATCTTCAATGATGAGTTAATTTTTCCAGATGTGAGCAGCTTCAATCAAATTACTCCTTCCACACTGATTCTGTATTTACATACCGTTTTTGTTGCTAAAACTTGCAAATGTGCCCTAATGCTGCTTTGTGCCACAGTGAACTGTAGAAAATTCTGCCTAGGCTTCTGGTCGCACAGGGAGAACCACAGAAACTCGCTGCAGGGCTAATAGGATTCTGCTGACTGCGGAGTGCATCTCTACTGCCGAGTGGATGGGTTATCAGGAATGCACGTTCCAGTTAACCCGGGTAGAAGATGTTGCCAAAATCACAGTTTTCACAAGGCTGGTACATGAGTCATGAACAATGCTCACAAAAAGTGTCTGCGATACCACTGTTTGGGAATTTATACCCCATATAGTCTGATAACCCCAACCTCAGGGAAGAGAGAAAATCAGACTTTTTTC